ATTCCACAAATAAGTGAGATCATATGATACTTGTCTTTCTCTGTTTGGCTTGTTTTGCTTAGGATAATACTTTCCAGGTCCCTCCATGTTGTCTCAAAGGATAAGAGATCTTTCTTTCTTAACAGCTGCATAATACTCCATTGTGTATATGTAGCACAGCTTTTTTATCCATTCGTCTACTGATAGTCCCTACTTCTTTGAAATGGGCAGAAGAGTACTTGAAAATGAAGAGTGCTAAATTGTTTACCACTTACTTATAATATTAAATAGAGCCTAAACTTTTAATCTCTAAATTATCTTTGTAATTATAACACCTTTACAAAGTTATTCATTGATTTTTCTGTTTTGATAATGTACCATAGTCACGTGAGATTTACTGTTAGGCACATAGTACCTCCCTGTTTATTTTGCAATTTTCTATGAGTCCATAGATTCAAAGGAAAAAAGTTTTTCTAAAGTCGGTTATGAAACGATTGTGATATTCTCTGCAATTGTTTGTGTTAGTCACTTGTTGCAAAATGAGTTTGTACATATACTCATGTATAAAAGCTCATGATTTGGAATAAAGATGAAACATTTTATTACAAGAGAGGCACATGGTCAGTTTATAGTTACTCCTTTCAGTTGACATTTCTCTGCATAGTCTCATTTCCCAAAGCTTTATATGCTAATGTCATTTTTTGTATTGTTGACGATATTACAGATGTCCCCCATTTTCTCCCCTTTTCTTGCCTCCACCTGGCTCCTGCCCCACCCCAGGCCTTCACCTCACTATTGTCTGTGTCCATGGGCTATGCATATATGCATATAAATTCTTTGGTTAATCTACCCCCCTCCCCTCCTCTTCCCTCTGAGATCTATCAGTCTGTTTGTGCTTCCATGTCTCTGGACCTATTTTGTTCATCAGTTTATTTTGTTCATTAGATTCCACATATAAGTGAGATCATATAATATTTGTCTTTCTCTGACTGGCTTATTTCACTTAGCATAATAGTCTCCAGGTCCATCCATGCTGTCTCAAAAGGTAAGATATCTTTTTTTACAGCTGCATAATATTTCATTGTGTAAATGTGCCATGGCTTTTTTATCCACTCCTCTACTGATGGGTACTTGGGCTGTTTCCAGATCTTAGCTATTGTAAATAATGCTATTAACAAAGGGGGTGCATATATTCTTTCTGATTGGTGTTTCAGGATTGTTAAGATATATTCCCAGAAGTGGGAATCACTGGGTCAAATGGCAGTTCCATGTTTAATTTTTTGAGGAAACTCCATACTGTTTTCCAAATGGCTGTACCAGTCTGCATTCCCACTAGTGCACTAGGGTTTCCTTTACTCCACATCCTTGTCAGCGCTTGTTGTTTGTTGATTTACTGGTGGTAGCCATTCTGGCAGGTGTGAGGTTAATGTATTACGGGGTCCAATTTGCTAATATTTTATTGAGAATTTTAGCATCTATGTTCTTCAGAGATATTGGCCAGTAGTTTTCTTTCTATATGGTTTGAGATTTGTTTTTGCATATGATTATCCAGTTATTCAGTACCTAAGTGGTTGGAAAGTTTGGACTTTCCCCATTTAAATACCTTGATACTTCTGTTAAAAATCAGTTGACCAGATATATATGTGTCCATTTCTGGATTCTATTCTGTTCCATTGATTTATTTGTTTATATCTCAATACTAAATTATCTTGATGACTATAGCTTTATACTCAGTTATGAAATTAGGTAAGTCAACTTTTCTATTTTTCAAAGCTTTTTTTTTATTTTTTAGTTTTTATAGATGCTCTTGAGCTCTGTGGCTTTTGTAAATTCTACCTATCATGCACCATTTCAATTTTTAGTTTTTCTAAAATTGAGAACTTAAAGGCACTTGTAAAATCATCTGAATGCAGAATACTTCTAGAGTTTTATAATTTATCCCTCTGATCTTTGGTCATTTACTTGTCCATTTGGGCTGCTATAACAGAATACCATAGACTGGGTGGCTTATAAACAACAGAATTTTCTTTCTCATATTCTGGAGGTTGGAAAGTCCAAAATCGAGACACTGGCAGATTCAGTGTCTGGTGAGGGCTAGCTTTCTGATTCATTGATGACCATTTTCCGGTTATGCTCTTACATGGTGGAAGAGGTGAGGAAACTCTCTGTGGTTTCTTAAGCAGAACAAAGAAATATGCATTAACTCTGAAACAGGGAAAGATAGTCCCACAATAGGCAATAATCCCAGCACAAGCTGTTGAGGATTAATATCTTTTGGTAAGGAAGAGCTCTTGGCCAAGGCTGAGTGCATGAAAGACTGTATGCAAGAGACTACCTTTCCCAAGAAGCAATTAAGGTTAAATGAGATCATAAAGATAGGGCCCTAATCTTATGAGATTGGTTTCCTTTTTAGAAGACTAAGAGACACCAAAGAGTTCTCATTCTCTCTGCCATCTGAGAACACAGTGAGAAGGTGTTTATAATCCAATAAGAGAGTTATTACTAGGAAATGAATCAGCTGGTACCTTGATTAGTGACATCTAGTCCCAGAACTGTGAAGAAAATTAAGTTCTATTATTTAAGCCATCCAGCCTATTGTACATTATTATGGGAGCCTGAAAAGACTAATACAGGCACCAAATACTTCTAGTCTCCTATCCTTGGCAGAATCCTCTCATGGTTGGTTCATGGTGTTTTTGGAATAGGGTGATTGGTATCTAATGTGCCAGCAGTCACTTTTATTTTTTTCTTATCTTCACCTGTTGCATTCAAAATGCGAGGATATTTTTCTTTTTTCTGTTCAGATAGAGTGGGAGGTGGGGAGAGAGAGAGAGATGAAGAGAGAGAGAGAGAAACATCAATGTGAAAGGGACACATCAAGTGACTGCCTCCCATACAACCCCAATCAGGGCTGGGTATGAACTACAGCCGAGGTACATGCCCTTGACTGGAATCGAACCCATAACTCATTGGTCTGTGGGCTGACACTCTAACCGCTGAGCCAAACCAGCCAGGGCCAGTCACTTATTTTGAATAATGCTTCTTAGGTGGTTCTTGGGCCCAAATTTTAGTTACTTGTTCAAAGGGAGGAAGCAAAGGAACTAAATCAGGAACTGACATGGTTGTGCCCTCCAAGCTTCTGCCATCAGACACAGCCAGATTTGCTGGTGAATATCCCCCAAGTTAGCTACATAAGATACAGGTTTAATTTGCTTTTGCTTATCTAACCTTAGGATTGATGTTTTGTCTTGCTTAAAAAAATAAAGTTTAGTAACATTAGTATCTAAACTATATTTTCAGACAGGTCAGAAATGACTAGTTCCTTTGGTTTTATATCATAACACATATATTTATGTATGTTTTCATTTTTTTCTATCGCTCTAAGTTAGATTGTCATATATGCAACATTTAGAAATTTGTTATGCTGTGTCATAACCTGAGATAGGGAATTCAAAAGGAAGAGATTTGGGACACCATTCTAGGCACTTTTCATATGTCATCTCATTTATTCCTAAGGGCAGGTAGTGTTGCCTCTAATTCACAGTTAAGGAAATAAGCTCAGAGAAGTAAAGCAATTTGCCTAAAGTGGCATTGCTAGTAAGAGGCAAGGCTGTGGATCAGACCCAGGCAGGCTAGAATCCAAAACTGCATATTCTTTGTGCTGTATTACTCTGCAGTGGGAGTGTGGTGACTTTGTAGTCAGAGTAATTTTAAGAATCAAGTAGTGAAGGACAGTCCTCTCTGGTCCAGCTTCTCTTGTTTGTGGCTATAATGACAGAAAAATATACTTAAGAGCACTCAAATTCCTCAGTATTATGATTGCCTGTGTGAGTGAGACTTAAAAAAGATCACTAAGTAGTCCAAAATCATGATCTAGAAGTCAGGATGTCCTATTTAAGTATTTGTCACTTGCCAGACAGCCAAACCGTGAAAGATAGCTGGCTGGGAGTCCACTTACTGGGAGACAGGACTCGACAGAGTAAAAGTCTATCCTATGGGGCCCTATCTAAATCATTAGGCTCAGACGTAATGAAAGCACTTTTTATCATTATAAAAGACCCTGGAAGGCTGAATTTCCTTGAGGAATAAAGAGAATGAAATGCTTACTCCAGAAAAGACTGCCCAAATACAGAATCTCCTTTTGCTCCATTCATGAGTCTGGTCACTCATGCATGTAGTCCTGCCATGAAAACATCTAAATAAGCACGTAGAATGCATTGTGGTCAATACATGTAAAAATAATTAATGTTAGTTGTAATTTATGTGAATTCTTCTTCTTCAACCTTGAGGTAATAGTCTGGGGGGCAGGTAGGTGTACCTCTAAGACCGGGTTTTGCTTGGATAAATTCCGTTCACTCCACTGTCTCTCTCTCTTCCCATATAAGGGCTTGTCTGTTTTCTAAGGACACCTGTCAGTTCCTGAATTTCACAAGGCTGCTATGGACCATCTACTGGTTAGAAGAATGTTCAAATAGGGGCGCGAGAGTGGGGGGAGGGGGGAGCAGGGATGTTCAGGCGTTTTGCCAGAAGCCCCACGTCTTGTACATGGGGAGTAAAAAGAACAGGGCTGTTTCAAGGGCGAAGAGAAGAATATGTCGTCCATTAAGAAGCAAGTAGAGACGTCCGGACCAGTTGTCTCCGTGCTCGCGCTCGGTAATCGTGTTTCTCTGATAACGGGAACAATACACTCCGCCACAAGTAGGGGCATCTCCTGTTCGGTCGCTTCGCTGACAAGAAAAGACCTGAAACGGATGCGCCCTGGGGAAACCCTGATGGTCCGAAGCGACAACGAGCTGGGTCCCGAGTGTCCAGAGTTCAGGCCACAGGGTGACAGGTGCAGGGCACCCTTGCACGCAGGGGCCGGGAATTGGGGTGGTTGGCGCGGAGCGTGAGATGAGCCAACTCCGCGGCCAGGGCTGCAGGCCTCCGTTCCCCGAGCTCGGCGCCGGCGGCTGTCAGTCGGCATCCTCGACCCGCCCCTCCCGAGGCTCGACCAATCGTAGCCCGGGGTCGGGATGAGACGACGTAGCGGGGTCACGAAGCAGGGACCAGGCGCTCTCACACGGCAGCGACTAATCGGGGTTCAGCGTCTGCAGCCGCAGGAGAGCGTTCGACTGCTGGCCCGACCTGGAGGTGAGTGCGGACCTGCGGGTCGTGCGCGGGCACCGGGCCGGGCCTCTGCGTCCGAGCGAGCCCTAGCCCGGCTCCTCGCGCGCCTCTCGGCTTCCGAGGTCCTCCCTCAGCGCCCCGGCGGAGGAAGTGCAGCCGCAGGGGTACGGCTGGGGGCGTCGGAGCCGGGAAAGGGGGCTCCGGCTCCAGGCGGGGGCAGCTTGGGGCTGGAGTTGTTCCAGCCTTGGCAGGGTGCGGGGCTGGGCGAGGCTGGGCGAGAGCATCTCCACCCTCAGCTTTTTGGACTTGCTGCTCCGCCAGCTGGTGCGGCTGGTGCCGCCGCTGCCGCCCCCGCCGCAAAGCGGCAGAGCCAGGCTCGGGACAACCGCTGAAGACACCCCGCTTCCCGCCCCTCCCCCCCAACTTTCAGCTGCGTCTCGGTCGCCGCGCTGCTCTGGCCTCACTGACATCAGATTCGGGTCGTATGGGGAGAAACGCGTGTGACTTTACAAGGTGTGGTGTGGAAACCGTGGCCTGTTGCCCATCTCCGCTTGATCAAAAGCTACTAGGGAGGTAAGAGATTCTCAGGCAGGGTTTATTAAAAAAAAAAAAAAAGAAATTGTAATTGCCTGTTTGTAAACTTTTTATTGTTTTTCTTTATTTACACTAAAGAAAGATTGATGTCATATTTCCTAAAGGTAAAGAATCAGGCTGCTCTGATTGGCCTGTTTCCTCTCCACTCCGGTTAATTATCATTTGGAACATCTGAATGTGCTTAAAGCTGGCTGGACTCCCGACCCCAATAAATTGTCTGATTCCACGGGGCAGACTATTCTTCCGTAGTGTTGGGTTCAGCTTTCCTTTGACTGTTGAGTATCTTCCCTCCATGTCTGTTATCCTCACAGGCTCCATGGGCCTAATAAAGTGTCCTTATTTGTTACTGAGAAAGGAAAAAAAGGGATAGATCACTAAAGTAAGGTTTGCTGTCCCCTGTGTCCCAGAATTGGGGTGTCCTGAGGATACAATATAAGTTACAATTCAAACATTTCAGAGAGGCCATCCCTGACCAACTGATACAAATAACACTCCTTGGCCACCCTGTACTAGTGGTTCTCCTACCTGGCTGCACATTATAATCATCTCGAGACCTTTTAAAAAAGCTGTTTCTTGGGCCCTACTCCACAGATTCTGTCTGACACATTTGGTTGGTGTCCTCCAGGCATTGTTATTTAAAACATTTTTTTTCTTCCTTTATTGATTTTTAGAGTGAGAGGGGGAGAGAGATAGAAACTGATGAGAGAGAACATTGATGGATTTGCGGACTCCTGCATGCCCCCCACTGGGGATCGGGCCTATAACCTGGGCATGTATCCTGACCAGGAATCTAACCAGCGACCTCTTGGTGCATGGTTCCCTGCTCAACCACTGAGCCACATCAGCTGAACCAGGCATTGATATTTTAAAAGCTTCCAAGATGCTATTAATATACATGCAAGGGTGAAGACCCCATCAACATGCCTCATTTATTCTTATAGCAGTTACTGTTCCCTTTAACTGATTTGTTTACTTCCCTACTTCTCTACCCCACGGTGGGGTATGTTAAGGAGAAATGGGATCTAGGAAAACAAGTCCTGCAGACCTGTGTCTCTGCTTCATCTTTGTTCAAGGATTGACCTTCTTTGGTTGATCCATCATTGTCATCGTCTTGGATGTGTGTCTATTTCTCTCTTTAGACCCTGCCCAGTTAAGTTTCAAGGTCTTACTCAGTATCTTATGAAAAATATACAGCTTCCATTTGAAAAGTTTAGATATTAACACTTAAGTTTGGGTTTATTCCATGTAAATCTGTGCTTTTTGTCTTTTATGTAGGGGTCCACGCATTCTGACTTAAAATTGCTCTGACAAATACAATTACAGGTCATAGTATTTAAGATGGGGACTGCCCCAGAAACTGGATGTATGGTTGCCCTCTAAAATACTCTTTTTGGAATTGTTGTCTAAGAACATTAGCTCCCCAGAGGATTGGATTGCAGCCTAATTTTCTGTTTAGTACTGAAGTCAAGTATATCATTTGTGTTATTGACAATTGTAATTCCAAGTGATGTAAGTAATCACTTTATAATTCTCTTGTGAGATAATGATCAGGAGGTCAGGTACCTAATGGAAGTCTAGGATTGTTGCCACAGGCCATAAAGAAGTTAGATTGGCAGGTAATTAGTCTTAATAAAAATTTGTTAAAGTAGACCATGCATTTTACTTTTTGCTTGTCTTTTGAACATAAATATTAGGCATGAGTAAGTAGTGGACTGACACTTCAGAAAGATTTGAAAACAGAACTGGCCAAGTTTAGATTCCTCCTGGAGTAATCACACTTTTAGATCTGTCTAGATGCCTCTTGTTTTTTGTAGTGGTAGGATGAATCATTGAACTACATGATTATTCTACTCTTTAATAAAAATAACACATGGAGCTTTTACCTTTGGCATATATATATATATATATGAATGAAATGTTAAAGGGTCTTCTTTTTTTATCTTTTAAAAAATTTAGGCTTATGCCCTGGCCGGTTTGGCTCAGCAGTTAGAGCATCAGCCTGCGGTCCTGAGAGACCCGGGTTCGGTTCCCGCTAAGGGCATGTACCTCGGTTGCAGTTTGTCCCCGGCCCTGGTTGGGTCGTGTGGGTGGCAACCACTCGACGTGTCCCTTTCACGTCGATGTTTCTCTCTCTCTCTCTCCCTCCCACACTCTACCTGAACAAAAAATAGAAAAAATGTCCTCAGGTGAGGATAAAAAAAAAAAAAAAAAAAAAAATTAGGCTTATATTTTTTAATTTATATTGCTGTGTATAAAGTTTTGACCTTCAGCTCAGATCTCAGAGTGACTTGCCATATTTATGTATATAAATAGCCAGTTACTGTTTTTTATTGGTAGGAAAGGAAATATTCCTATCTCCACTACTCTACTATGTTGTACTGATCTGTGTACATCTCTGCTATAAAATTGTACTCTTGATTTCAAGTATGTTTACTGTGACTTCATTTCAGTACCTTTAACCTGTACATCACGTGCTTATCTCTGTTGCAGCAAGAAGAATGGTATTAAAATGAAAAAAACTGCCTTGGCCAGTTTGGCTCAGTGGTAAACTGAGTGTTGGCCCTTAGACCAATGAGTCACAGGTTCGATTCTGGTCAAGGGCACATACCCTGGTTGCAGTTCCTCCTGGCCCTGGTCTGGGTCATGCGGGAGGCAACCAGTCGATGTGTCCTTTTCAAATCGATCATTCTCTCTCTCTCTCTCTCTCTATTTCTTTCCCTCTCCCTCCCACTCTATCTAAAGATAAATAGAAAAATATCCTCGGGTGAGGATTAAAAAATAAATAAAAATAAAAATTGAAAAACAAGCAAATCATCAACATGTGCTTTCAGTGTGTCAAGAAAAGAATGAGAGCTGCTATCATGATTGCTTGAGGTCAGGACTTTACACTGGAAAGAAAGTTAGATGTAAACTTTAATTTCTTATTTCTAATAAGCACCTCTTCTTGGGAACTGAAACTTTCCAAAAAAGATAAATTATATTTCTATTTTTTGGTTGATCTAGGAAACTTTTTTTCTAGAGTAATTCCCATCTAGCACTCTTGCTCTTACTTAAGTCTAAGGAAATTTGAGCTACTCAGGGATATTTTTCTGCTCTCTTTGCAAATAGCTGTTTTGTTATAATGCCTCCTTTTAACATTTGTAGGAAAGTCACGGAAACCTGTTACATATGTCTTCTTTCACTTTGAAACCTTTCATTTCATTTATTTATTTATTAACTTAAATTTTATTTTTCAATTACAATTTACATTCAGTATTATTTTGTATTAGTTTCAGGTTTACAGCATAGTGGTTAAATAATGAAATACTTTACAAAGTGTTTCCCCCGATATTTCTAGTACCTTTCTAGCACCAACATAGTCATTGCAGTATTACTGACTACATTTTCTATGCTGTACTCTACAGTCTCATGACTGTTCTGTAGCTGCCAGTTTGTACTTCTTAATCGTTTCACCTTTTTCACTCACTCGCCAAAGCCCCTCTCCCCTCTGGCAACCATCAGTCTGTTCTCTGTATCTATGAGTCTGTTTCTGTTTTGTATTTTGTTTCTTAAATTCCATATTTAAGTGAAATCATATGGTATTTATCTTTCTCTGACTGACTTATTTCACTGAGTATAATACCCTCTAGGTCCATCTGTGCTGTTGCCAATGGTAAGAGTTCTTTTTTGTTATTATTATGGCCAAGTAATATTCCATTGTATATATGTACCACAACTTTTTTATCCACTTATCTACTAAAACACTTGGGTTGCTTCCATGTCGTGCCTATTGTAAATAATGGTGCAGTGAACATAGGGGTGCATATATTCTTTCAATTCAGTGTTTTGGGTTTCTTCAGATACTTACTCAAAACTGGAATTGCTGAGTCATGAGGCAGTTTCATTTTAAAATTTTTGAGGACCTTTCTTACTGTTTTTCTTAGTGGCTGCACCAATCTGCCTTCATACCAACAGTGCAGATTATCGAGGGTTCCCTTTTGTCTAGATCCTCGTCAACACTTGTTTGTTAATTTACTGATGATAGCCATTCTGACTGGTGTGAGGTGATACCTCATTGTGGTTTTAATTTGTATTTCTCTGAAAATTAGCAACATTGAGCATCTTTTCATATTTGATATTTTGGCCATCTGTATGTCTGTCCTCTTTGGAGAAGTATGTATTCAGGTTCTTTGCCCATTTTTTAATTTGGTTGTTTGTTTTGGGGTGTTGAGTTGTATGAGTTCTTTATAAATTTTGGATGTTAATTCCTTATCACCTGTATCATTGGCAAATATCTTATTCCATTTACTAAGTTGTCTTTTCTTTTTATTGATAGTTTCCTTTGCTGTGTAAAACTTTTTAGTTTGATGTTGTCCCATTTGTTTACATTTTCCTTTGTTTCCTTTGTCTGAGGAGATATGTCAGAAAAAGATTGCCAAGAAAAATGTTCA